CGGCTATTGGGGTAAATACTGGAAGGTCAGAGAGACAGAACAAACCATAGCTATCTCACCTCACCAGTTCCTCAGCTGGTCCTGTTTCCTCAGACTGGAAGCCTCTGAGTCCTCATCCAGAATGAATCTCAGCTGAACTGTGTTGCTCCAAAGCCTGAAAGCTTACCCAGCCAAAATCTTCTCATTTCTGGTCCTCATGCCTTATATTTCTTTTTGCCTTCTACCACCACTCCCTGGGATTAAAGGCTGGCTTTCTGGGATTAAAGGCGTGTGTCACCATGCTTGGCTATTTCCAGTGTGGCCTTGAACTCACAGAGATCCAGAGGGATTTCTATCTCTGGAATGCTAGGATTAAAGGTGTGAGTACCACCATTTTCTAGCCTTTGTATCTAGTGGCTGTTCTGTCTCTGACCCCAGATAAATTTATTAGAGTACACAATATTTTGGAGAACATGATACCACCACAGGACTTGGTGGCAGTGTGGCTTCACTGACTCACCTGTGGAAGAGAACATAGATAAGATGATGTGGGGTGGGGTTACTAAGCCTTGCTTGACTCAGGACCACAGCCTGTGCCCTTCCAGCCACTCATCTCCCATCCCAGGAGTCCATCGCTAGCAACAGGGCTGAGGACAAGTATGTCTGGTATTGTAAGGTGCAGGCCCTTCTCCCATTGCCAATCAGCAAAAACGCTCATAATAACCGTACTTGACATTGGATTATACTTTCCAATTGGACACAATTTAGAATTTTCAAAGACTTTTATAGATATAATTTCTTTGATCCTCCAGCAGCCCTGTGGGGTAGCTACATCTTTCAATCATTCAACAAATGCTTGCTGGGAGCTCTATTGAGGGTGACTGGGGTTCCCAGGACACAGGCTTTCTGTTTAAAATACAGGACAGTCCAGGGCAACCTGGTATGAGTTGTCCATGCTTCTGCCATTCTGGGCAGAGGACTCCCGAGATGAACAGGACAGCTGTGGTCCCAGCACACATGATATTATGCTGGCATTTTCCTGTGTTTGATGTCTGCTGGATATTGCACTGAGACGTTGGAGTTTGATGTTTAAAAAATGATGTTTTCTGATGTCTATTCTTTACATTCCTGATCCATGCATTAGGTCCAGAGCTAGACCCTGATAGGAAAACACAAAATCTAGGGGCTTTTAAAGACCTCATGATTTAGTGCTAATGGAGTTGGGGGTGTTAGGACAGTGGTGGACCCACCGGAGGTTCTAGGTCTGTGTCCTTCAGGTACCTCATCCACTTCTCTTTTGATTCTTCTACTGTCTTCCCGTCACCCTCCCAGGCATTCTCAAAACTTTTCTGTCACACTGCTTCCTTTAGTAGTGATGTTATCCTCTCCCGTGTCTTTGATCTTTTGGATGTCATCTGCTAAAATTGGGATTAGAAAACTTATATTGTTAGAATAAAATTATGGTTTATTGGTTTTGTTTTGTTTTAGTTTTTTTTTTGAAATAAGGCCTCTTTTGCCTCAAGCTGGCCTCAAACTTGCTAAGCTTCCAGGAATGACTTTGAATGTCTGATCATCCTGCCTCTACCCGCCAAGTGATGAGATTTCAGGTGTGTAGCTCTATATCTGGTTTATGTGGCACTTGTGTATGCTAGGTAAGTAGTTACCCACTGCACTGTGTCCTCGGCCCTGGATGCAATGCTCTGCATCCACTGGGAAACACTGACCTCAGACAACTCTTGAGAGAGAATATTCCCACCAAGAGATGAGAGTTTCTCTCAGATAATAGGACATCACTGACTTTCTTTTCCGGGGGAAGGTAAGCTTGGGACCAGTTTGGAAAACAGTACCCATACCAACCACTTTTTCTATACATTTCAACAACCAGGAACCTCCTAATTGAATAGTGTCCCATTATGTGACCGGATCATGAATTTCCAGGAAGGACAAAGTAATCAAATTAGCTTTGAAATGTCAGCCTTGCTGCAGATACTGCTGTGGGCTGAGCTGGAGTACTTTCTTTGGCCGTCGTCAACTGTGTGATTAACTCTAGCAGCTATGTGTGGCATTTGGCATAGACAGATGCTCATCTGCCTGAAGAAATGCAACGTTCAACTCACTGTCTTTCTGGACTCACACTCTGGTTTTCTCCAACAGAGTTGGCTGGGAATTTTGAGGGTGTGGACTCATCTTTCCTTCACTAGATGAAACCCTCACAGAGAGACTTGCCACCCATTACTTGGGGCATGGTTGGCACCCCCCACAAAGCTCTGTTTGGCTGGGTTGTTTCTTTATTGACTCACTTCATCCTGAAGAGCTGTGAAGTGCTTGCTGCAGCCCAGGCATCTTCTGGACCTTAGGAAAGAGCAGAGAGGAGGCCAGTCTGATTATGATCACAAAGATCTAGCTCTGGAGAGTTCCAGCCAAAGGGAACAGGGGTGAGCACCTTGAGGAAAGGGCTTGGTTCAGGCAACAGCCAGCGAGGAGGGAGAGGGAGGCTGAGGCAGAGCGAGCCAGGGACTTGGCGTGGATGCTGAGGTTAGGAGAGGTAGATGGCACCAGGTGACACCAGGCCTCAGGGTTCATTTTAAACACAACACAGGGGATAATGGGAGATGTCTAAGCAGGACAACAAAGGGACTTTGGTGGTTTTTCAAGGGTCATCCTGGGTAATGGACTAAGCAAGAAAATATTGCAGTATTCCAGGTGGAAAGTCTGATAATTGTGATCAGAGTGTCAGCAGTGTGACAGGAGAGAGGTGATACAGGGTGGGGTGGATGGCTGGGGCGAAAGAAAGTTCAAAGGTGACTATTGGCTTTTGGCTTGAGCAAACATGTGGATGGTGTTGCTATGGTCAAGGTACAGGTAGCCATATGGAAATCTCCCTCATGGATTACGTTTCCAGGTATCATTGACTTTATTCAATGCAATGCTCTCTTGGCCTGATGACACATGATCTTTTTGGTTCCATGACTCTTTAGCGTAGGAATACATTTACTTCCCTCTGTAGGCTAAAAGAAGACCAAGAAGAAGAAAAAAGAATCTACTGCATCTAGTCAGCAGGATCCTACCTGCGCTGTCACCTCTGAAGTGCTGTTGCGTTCCAGGAGTCCCTGTGGCAATGCAATCAATGATGGAAGGCAGTCTTTAGTGAGCAAGTGTTGAGTGACAGGCGCAGTGCTATGCAGTTCCCATGAATTACTTCATTCAGCTTCACATAACCCAGGAAGTGAAATAGGCTTTTGACTCACCTCTTAGATAAAGAAATCAAGACTCACAGAGATAAAAAGTCACTACTTAAGGTCATAGATAAGGGAAAGTTCAAAGGCTGGGTTGAAACCTGGTTAACGTTGACCCCTGTGCTGTGCTTCCAAATTTCTCTCTGAGCACTGGCTGGGAATCCACACCCATTTTCAGGGCTGAGGCAGATGTATTAGCATACAGCTGGGTGAAGCATCTGCTCTTGGTGATCCAGGTGCACCTCAACCATAATAGCAGTGATGGTGATGATCATCAGGCCCTGTGAAGAGGACACACTGTGGGGGCTTCGTGGGTGAAGAAGCTATGGGCTGAAGCTGCTGGGAATGCCTTTTGTTGGATGTGGGGGAGAGGATGCAAGTGTTTGGAGGCATCTTTGCTCGGTGATGATATTCACTTGGGCTTCAGAGGGAGGGGTAGCAGAAATTCTGGAGGCCATGGCATGCTTAGATGAACTGTCCTGTCCCTAGGCATGCCGTTGAGACTCTGGAGCACTTGATGAGTTTCTAAGCTCTAGCCTCTGAGGAAGAAGCGTTTCTCCATGGAAGAGATCAGAGCATGTTGATGGCAGTTGACTGTGTTAATAAAGTTTTGACTTAGGATTCGGATTGAAGATTGAAGATTGCCCTTCCAGGATGTTATGAAAGCTTAGGCCAATCAAGCTCATTGGGGAGGTCTGTTGTAGCGAGGTGTTTCCTCCCTTCTTGTACTATTTAAAGAAAGAATTCGGCCTGTAAGATGAGCCCTTACCCTGGAAGCCATGGCTGGCACAGACAGTACCGTAATACCCAAGAGCCCTTCACAAAGAACAGCTGATTACAGACAGAAACCTGTCTGTCTCTTTTTGTTCATTTAATTTGATGTTTTAATGACGCTGCAGGTTATTTGAATACTCTATTTCAATGTACCCTTCATTGTTACACTTGTACCCCAAGGCAGATTGGTAGAGGGTGAGGTACTTAGAAATCTCCACTAATAAATTTCTGCTGGAAACCAGAAGCAGAAAGGCAATATATCAGGAATCTGGGATCTTAAAAAAATCAGCCTGAATCTAAGTTCAGAGATAAAGGGACCTGCCCCAACACCCAAAACTCAGCTTTGCTGTGGGATGTTCTGTATGGCAAATGTGTTGCTCTGATTGGTTAGTAAATAAAACACTGATTGGCCAGTAGTCAGGCAGGAGGAAATACAGGCGGGGCAAGGAGGAGAAGAATTCTGGGAAGTGGAAGGCTGAGTCAGAGACACTGCCAGCCACCACCATGACAAGCCGTGTGTGAAGATAATGGTAAGCCACGAGCCACGTGGCAAGGTATAGATTTATAGAAATGGGTTAATTTAAGATATAAGAACAGTTTGCAAGAAGCCTGCCATGGCCATACAGTTTGTAAGCAATATAAGTCTCTGTGTTTACTTGGTTGGGTCTGAGTGGCTGTGGGACTGGAGGGTGACAGAGATTTGTCCTGACTGTGGGCCAGGCAGGAAAACTCTAGCTACACAGCTTTAAAAACCAAACCACACCAAACCAAAACAATCAGAAACAGTGACAGTGTGGGTCAGATAAGCAGACACTGGGCCTTGGTTCCAGATGTTGGGAAGGCGTAAATTAACATATAGTATTTTCGGAGGACAGAGGCACAGCTGGTTTCCCCTCCGTTCTCCTCCTCTCTCTGATTTCAAATCAATGGGAGATCTGATGTGCTGTGATTTGGTCACTTATTTCTGTTCTTTCTCCCTAGTTCAGTGCAAGCTCCCTTATCACAGGATCTTACATGATTATCCTCTTCCATCACCCTGGTACCCAGAGAGATGGAGCCTGACACCCAGCATGTACTCAGTGTTGATCTGGTGTAGTAGGCTATAAGGGTTCCCCCAAATGTCCAAGGGCATATCTTTGAAGCCTGTAATTATGTTGAATTCTCTCAAAAAAGAGAATTAAGGTTCTGGGTGGAGTTGAATTTGCAAATCGACTGGCCGTTAACTCTAGAGACCATTCTGAGGCATCCATCAGAGTCAATGACATCTCCTGGGTTCGTCACTGTAGATAAAGGAGGCAGAAGGTTACAGTGTTGGGTGTGAAAAGGACTCGCTAGCTTTCAAAACACAAAATCTATGGCCAAAGAATGTGTTCAGCTCTGGAAGGTGGGAAAGGCAAGAAAATGGATTCTTTCTTATAATTCCCAGAAGTCAGCAAAGTCTGAGCTTCACCTCAATGGCAATTGTAGGCAGCTTCTTAGTTAGGGTGGGAGCCTGTGTCCACTTCCTCTCTCCGAGCTGGGGCTCTGGCTTGAAGCTGTGCAGGCCCCATGCTGTCCTTGTCTCTGGGAGTTCATACATGCTTCAGCACTGTTGCATCTGGAAGACAGTTTCTTCCGTGTCTTCCATGCCCTCTGGCTCTTACCGTCTTTCCACCTCCTCTTCCACATAGCTCCTTGAGTCTTGAGGGGAGGGGTTTGGTGACAACATCCCACTTAGGACTGAGTGCCCCAAAGTCTCTCACTGCTCATTGTCCAGTTGTGGGTCTCTGTGTCAGTTCTCATTTACTGCAAGAAGAAGCTTGTCTTGTGAGAGTTGAGCAAGTCATTGAGGTATGGGTAGAGTAGTCAATTATTGCTATGCTTCTGGAGCAGAACATTAAATACTATTTGGTTTTCCCCAGGTCCATGGCCTATCTAATCTCAGGTTCCTGGCCACTTTAGTAGTATCAGGTATGTATGTGTTCAACCTCACAGGCAGGGCCTTAAATCAGATCAGAAAGGGTCTGGTTACGCCCATAACATCTGTGCCACTATTCCACTAGTGTATCTTGCATGGAATATGGGGAGGGACAGCTAACACTTAAGCCCATTGGCAAAGCCATATGCTATAGATACTTCCGCCTTGTGTTCTGAAATGGGATCTCTCACTGGACTTGGAACTCACTGGCTGGTCAGAGAGCCTCGGGATCCTCCTGTCTCTGCCCCCCATTCTTGTGTTTGTATTATAAATATGTGCCACTGTGCCCCACTTTTCATGTGAGTGCTAGGAATCTGAACTCAGGCCTTTATGTGTGAACTTCAAGGACTTTACCTACTGAGCCACCTCCCAGCTCTATAATATCTTCCTTCCTTCCTCTCTTCCTCCCTCTCTTCCTCCCTCTCTTCCTCCCTTTCTTTCTTTCTTTCTTTCTTTCTTTCTTTCTTTCTTTCTTTCTTTCTTTCTTTCTTTCTTTCTTTCTCTCTTTCTTTCTTCCATAGAATATTTCTAAAAAGGGAACCATTTGTTCAACTCCCAGTTAGTTACCCAAAGACCTAATTAATATTAGGGAAACAGGTAAATGCTTCAGCCTTTCTTTTTAGTCACCATAATTCAGTTCAGTGATTTGGCTTCCTGGCATCCTGTTATCAACTGCTTAGTGTCTTCCTCTCTCTTTCATGTACCTGGAGTCCTCAGGAGGAAAGTGCTTAGGTTATATTTAATTACCACCAAGCCCAGAAACAGACACAGGCCTGGCATCATAGACTCCCGTCAGGTCTTTATTGGATGAATGAACGGCAGAAGGAGGACAATCTCTCTTTTCTTCTGTCTTTTGCATCTCACTGCCCTTCACTAATCCTCTGTTCTTGGTTAGCTCTAGGTAGTTAAAACATGGATCAAAGCACTTTGGATCAAAACCGTACCTTAATGAGGAAGTGCCCTCAGAGGCATCGAAAGTTGTTCTGACACAGAAATATTAATCCAGAGCACATGATGAAGATGCCTTATAGAAATCCACACTAGTCTTTAAGCAACATCTACTTCATTTGTTGCTTGTCTTCTATTTAATGGCCCCTTAGGGTTGCTTTCTACTTAGAGCCCCAAGAAAATGTAGTATTAATATGGTGAAGAATTAGCTAACTACACATACAGCTGCCTTCTGGTTGTTCCAAAGTGATTGCACATTGAGTATTCCATTGTCCTTGAAAATATCCCCTTGAAAGGTCCAGCCTCTGCGATATTCAGGAAGGGA